GGGAAGAAGCTAGAACACCTACAAGTCTATATAAACCAAATCGTGTGGTGCAGATAACAATATGGACTTAATATAAACTAAAATATAACCAAGCTCATAATAATTAGCAAAAAAAAAATAAGAAAAAGTCAACTCTACGTCAAACAAACTCCAGTAAAAAAAGTGAAGTACTATAACTACATTGACACCATAATAAATGAAGAATGGACCAACAACCAGGAGATAAGAGAGCGCATTAGAAGAGATAAGTCAACCTTCAACCAGATAGGGCCTTCTAGAAGAGCCACAACCTTTCTTTTGGTAGAGAAGTAAGAATGCTGTCACGCTATACCTTCTCTGTCCTCTTTTATGGTATGGAAGCTTGGAATTTGAACAAAGATATGTCTATATCAAAGAATTATTAAGAACTAGTGCACTGACCGAGTTACGAATAATGAGGAGAACCTCAAAAGAATAAAGAAGACGCAAGAAGTAGTGAGCATAATCAAATCTCGAAAGCTACCATACTTCAAACACACTATGCGAAATGAATCCAGATATGCCCTCTTAAAAGACATCCTACAAGGTAAAATATTTGGAAAGCATGGCCAGAAAAAAGAAAAAAAAGATCCTGGTTAAAGAACCTCAGAATCTGAGTTCAACACAACATCTATGCAGGTTTTTTACGTTGTTGTAGATAAGATAAAGATTGTCATGATCGCCAACATGAGTCATGGATACGTACATCAAGAGAATTTTAAAATCTTTAAGCATCTGTTAGTCGCGCGGTCTACGGTCGTAGACCTCTTCTTTAAGCGATCTTCTTTAAGTTGGGTAAAGATAAAATGACCAAATGGAAAAAACAATCGAGAATTTACAAACACGTGTCCATTCTAGTAATATTGTAAACCACTTGTTTGATCCCAAAGGTGATTCACAAAATGCATTTTCAGCAATTGAATGTTTAAATTATTTCCTAAGTAATGGCATTATTAAACTTATAACTATAATTATATATTTGTAACTATAATTATATACTATATAGGGAAATTTGTGCATTTATTTGGCATGTTGTTTTTGATTGGAACATTTAGATGTCCAAGAACAAATGTTAATAAAATCTGAAACAATTCAAGAGGTAGTGGTATTGGAACGTGATACCTTGCAATAAGCAAAAGACCGTTTAAATTTTTCATAAGCTGCTTTAGATTTGATGATATCAGAACAAGAAATGGAAGACAGGAAATACCTAAACTAGCACCAATAAGGAAAATAATAATAATATTTGCTTTTTAGAATATTTTTAGCTAATTGCAAAAAAAAATTTCAGTGTAAGTGACTTCTTGACTATAGACTAACAACTATTGGCTTTTAGGGGTGGCAGCTACTAGAGCAGCAAGTTCTAAAATAAAAATAGCTATTATGATTTCCAACCTCCGTAGAGAGATGGCACTTTAAGAAGAAGACGAAGCAGTTTTAAACAATATATACCTAGAAAGCCAGCTAAATATGGTATCAAGATGTTTGCATTAGTGGATGCCAAGACCTTATACACATTTAGACTCCGACAAAGTTTAGTTTGGAAATATGACTCATAAATCGACGATGCGCAGTGGTTCTTGTTTACTAGTCTTACCATAGAAATGGCCAGTTTGCTGTTTACCAGTGTCGTAGTTGTGTATCGCAGAGAGTGTTTCACTTGTTGATTTGATCGTGTTGGATATTTTATTTTATTTTATATTAGTGCTTAATATAATATTGGTAGTAGTAATTAGTGAGTTATTAAGTCGTTTAGTGTATTTATAGTGTGTTAAGTTTTATTAATAATAGTTATTTAACAAAATGGCTTCTAAAAAGATAGGAACTAAATAGCCCAGCAAAGGCAATAATTTATATTGTTACTACATTTATGGAACAAGAGGCAGCATATTTCGAAGCAACCGAAAACCTGTTAATACCTTTAAGGAAATTGACGTAAGTATTGTCAATGATATTTTATTTTCTTATGTGTGTATGTGTGCGTGTGTGAAAGATATGACACGGAAACAAATTCATTGGCCACAGAATGTTTTATTTATGTTTAAAGATATTTTTTTTGTTCTTGTTTGTTCCTTTTTTAGATATATGTATAAATCACTAAAGTTATATTAATTTATATTTCTACTTCCATATGTTTAAAGTTAAAGTGGGGTGCATCCAGAAATATGTATTTTGCGAGTTTTCAACAATATTCTCCCATTGCAGTTCCTATTTCAGTCTAATTTTTCATTCCCTGGTATACCTACATGGCCTCTAACCCAAATAAATGTTATATTTAAATTTACAATCATGTTTATTAAACAACATAACATAGGATACTTTATTTCTTCAAATTTTGTATTTTTTGAGTATGTTTTTGGATATTAACTTTGTTATATATTGAGTATGTTATTGGATGTTCACCAGGTAGTACAGTTTTCTAGTAAAAACACTGATAGATATATGTAGATACATTTTTAACAAAAACTGTAGATACAATTTCTTTACAATTTTGCTTACTTAGTAAACAAGATTTACTTTCCAAATAATTTAACTATTTCTATTTATTTAAGGTATTTATCAAAAACTAAAGAACAAAGAAATAGGATTTCCATGGTCAAAGGAATCATTAAGGAAAATCATAATTGGATTAGGCTTTAGGTAACACAGAAAATAATTATTTAGCTGAACAAATAAAACTATAATGGACAATGTGTTTTAAATTGATATTTTATTGGCATCATTTTAGGTAAACTTATGATTAATATGAATAGTGTTTTTTCAAAAGTACTAAATATTTGGATAATCTATTTCGGTTCCATTTTCCGAAAAACTGTTAACAAAAACATTCTACATAATTCTACCTAATTTTTGTTTTTAACAAATAAATTGTTCTTACTTCTGTATGTTTTGATACATTTAAAATTTAAACCATCATATAATTTGGAAATATATTCTGGAAATTATCTTGATCAAATTACAGGTGGAGAACAACCGAAAACAATAGGAGTGTCCTAATGGAAAAATATGAAATATGAAGTTTAAAACGAATAGAATATTTAAAGAAGCTAATTCAATTTCGATCTGAGGGTACAACCATAGTTTATACCGACGAAACATATATACACACCAGCCATAGTCTACCATACCACTGGGCAGATCAAAGTGGAAAAACTTTAAAGAAAATCAATTTAACCGGAATTATAAAAAATTATACAAGCCAATAAACCATGTTTTTCACGAGTTTATGTATTAGATTATGAGCTTGAACAACATGGACATAAAGTACTTCGCTTGCCTCCCTATCATCCGGAGTTAAACCCTATCGAAAAAATATAGGCTTTGGTAAAAGATAGAGTGGCCACTCATATTACAACATTTAACATAAATAAAGTTGAAAATATGGAAACACTCAAATTGCAAAAGAACATTTATTAGACTCTACGCTGGACTACTTACAATTTTTATTAATACTGGTTCATCCGAAGAAAGCCTTTCTAATAATGAAGATAGTGATTCAAATTCCGGAATAGACGTGTTTTTGTGTGATATTCCTTTGTCATATAACAAAACATAGAAGTCTTTACAATCATTACTGTTTAGAAAATAAATACATTATTTAATTACTGATATCTTCTTTTTAATTACTTTAATATTATTATTGCGTTACCCATACGATCGGCTGTAACGACGATGTCATCTGCAAATCTTAAATGACTGAGTTTCTCTAAAGTTATGTTAATACTATGCTCGTTCAGATGTGTTTACTTACATTAAGTATGTTCTAAAAGCGTCGTGAAAAGCTTTGGAGATACTGTTTCCTTGTCGTACTCCTCGCTGTATACAGAATTTATTTGTTTCTTGTTTAGATAGTCTTACGCTAGCTGTGGCATTTTGGTAGGTATATTTGATTATGTTAGTGTAGCGATAGTCTACTCTACATTCCATCAATGCTTTTAACATTTTCTGATGGATTATGGTATTGAATGCTTTCTCGTAGTCGACAAATATCAGTGCCAATGGTTTCTTGTATTGTGCAGACTTTTCTCTCAGGTTCTTTATCAGTAGTAAGTGATCGTTAGTTCTGTATCCCGAATACAGCTTGTTCTCTAGGCTGATATAAGTATATCTATTTTAGCGTCCAGTCTTTTTTTGACATTTTTTATGAAAAGTTTATATATGTGTGAAAGAAAACTGATTGGATTGTAGTTTTAAGATGTTACGTCTTCTTGCTTGTGTACTAAAATAATGACTGTATTGTTCCATTGAAAAGGAGTTTTTCCTTGGTAGATGTATTCGGTGAAAAGCTTGGTTAAAGCCTGGATAATTTTATTTCCACCTAGTTTGATCGCTTCGATCAATACTTTGTCACCGCCAGGGGATTTGTTCCATTTCTAAAAGTGACATTTTGATTTAGTACGTAGAATTATTTCTGGCATCAATTTTGATCATTGGTTTGTGGTTTTGAGCAGGGTCGGATCTTGCCTTTCGTCAGTTCTCTCAAACATTTCGCGATAAAAGGATTCGATGACCTCAAAGATTTTGTACATATTTTTGATGTTGATCGTATTTTAATTCTACACTTGCGAATAAAGTCACAAAGCAACACCCCGTTTTTTACCTATGTCAAAATTACCAAAGCCAAAAAACAAAACATATCTGATATAAAAGTGCAGACTTAAATAAACATGTTTTTAACCATTATTTGTTAAATTTGTCAAAATTTAATGGAGAGTTAAAAAAGTGTTCCGACTTGATAGAAAACCCTTATTAAAATACTGTAGTGCTTAACTTAATGTATTAAAAAATAATTTGTGATTAATATCATTCTGGTGTAAATAATGAGTGGACGAACTAATTCCCACAGCACACAAAAGTGACGAAAATTAAAATTTTTGTTTTTGACAAATTAATGAATATTTCGCAATTTTTTATTAAAAATAAATTTTAAACTATGACCCATGTTATAATATTTATATTATGTAATTTTTGAGGTACCTTACTTTGACATTGGCATGTCAATCCGTTTCATTATATTTGCAAGTTCTCTTATTGATATTTTGCCATCTTTGTTTTCATCAAATAAATTAAACGATTCTTCTAACTCTTGCAATTCCTGCTTGTAAAATGTTAATCTTATCACATTTTTGTCCTTAGAATATTTTCCCCCCATAAAATAATAAATGTATATGGTTCTTGGTCACACTTCAAATTTTTGTCAGTTTTTTGTCAGATTATTTTTGTCAGTTATTAAATGACGGATTGTCATCTTTTTTATATTTACATATGGCTGCTTGCCTTTAATATGAACATTATTTAGGTCTACGCCCCGACATCAGAATCCACTGAAGAAAAAATAGAAAATTTCTCTCAGACTCTAGAAGACTCTTCAAAACTGACCAAAAAACATGAACTTACTATTATCATGGACGATTTCAATGCCAAAATAGGACAGGGACCAGTCTAAAATATCGTATGTTCATATGGTCTTGGCATAAGAAACGCAAGAAAAGAAAGACTAGTCCAATTTTGCCAAGAGATGGATAGGGTTGTAATGAATACACTTTTTAAATTACATCCAAGAAGACTTAGAGAAAAGAGCAAGAATGGATGACAGATAAAATATTGCAGAGAATGGAAGAGCGAAGAAAATTTAAAAGTAGAAATGACAAACAATACAAACAGTTGCATAAGACTATACTAAAGAAGATAAAAGGAGCAAAAGACGCATGGCTGACGGAAAAATGTATGGAATTTGAAAAACTCGAACGCAAATATGACGATTTTCATATGCACCAAAAAGATTAAAAAGGTATAGAATACCAGAAAACAACGCAATATAGGCATACTTGAACATTGAAGGCCAAATTTTGACTACCATTGAAGATAAATTACGAAGATGGAAAAAATATATGCAAGAATTATTCGAAGATGCAGCACGAAGTCTGACTGAAAAAAACAACCCCTACGGCACAGGAATAACAAACGAAGAAGTAATTATGGCCATTAAGTGGAAAAAAGATGGAAAATCACCAGGGCCTGATAAGGTGCATGGTGAAATTTTAAAGCTATTAGACCTAACCAAATCACAGCTCTTACGAAACTATTCAATAACTTCTACTAGACTGATTACTTACCAAAAGACTGGCTACTATCAATATTCATTCCACTTCCTAAATAATCCAACGCTGAAAAATGTGAAAAGCATAGATCAGTTACGATGATGAGCCATGCACTTAAAGTACTCCTTCCATTATCATTTACTCGTGCATATACACCACATTAGAAGAACAACTGACTGAAGTTCAATTTGGATTCAGAGCAGGATGTGGAACGAGAGAAGCACGTTTTAGTTTTAAAGTTCTAACACAGAGATCAATGGATGTCAACTCTGATGTGTATGCATATTTCATTGATATCAAGAATGCATTTGATAATGTCCCAATTTTAAAACTAATCGATATCCTTAAAACATCAAGACTCGATGGTGGGGATATAAGACTGATCTCAAACTTATATCTCTAACAAAAAGCAATAGTACGAAATACGATACACTGTTAGAAAGAGTTGAAAAATATATTTGGACTGCAATAATAAAGATACTTGGGATCACAGCCACGAAATAAAAACTTGCATTGAAATAGAAAGAAGCTCTTTCAACAGCCTTAGAAAGATTCTCTGCAACTTATCTTTAAGTATCAATATACGCATAAGAATTCTTAGATGTTACGTTATTAGTGTCCTCCTCTATGAAGTAGAAATCTGGAGCCTTGCAGAGGTAAGAGAAGCCTTGGACGTAGACGTATATCCTGACTGACGTATATATGGCTGGCCAATCTTAGTAAATGGACTGGTCTAACGTCAACTGATCTATCTCGAGCAGCTGTGAATATAATGAGATAAATCAATGTGGTCGCCAACATCTCTAGAAGATAGGCACATTTAGAAGAAGAGCTTGCCTTTTACTATCCAGTTTGCTGTGTCATTAATTATGCTTTAAGTTTATAATGACATGGAGCAAAAATAACCGCTACACATATATATTGTGTCAAAAAAATTGATATATTTATATATGTCCTACTTATTATTTACTTTTTCTTTTTTAGTTTACTAACCTCCACCTTTACCCTACCTGGCCAGAGTAGGCGTACGTTGTTTTGTATCTTCCAAAACACAGCAATGTAAAATTTTATTTTTATTCGTATTTCATCTACTCAACTTTACAGTGTTGATTTATAGGCTATATAACTATTTTAATATATAATGTTAGTCCCTATTGAACGACAACACAATAGATCTGTGACATTATTGGGACCGTGCAAGTTCGGAACAGCGACACCTGGTGTCGTAAATCTGCCAAATTTACTGCGATTTTATGTTAGATCGAGGTTACCGGATAACTGTCAAGGACGTGGCCCCAAAAAAGAATAAGAAGAAAAAGTAAGATTGAGGTTATGTCGGTATGTTATTAAAAGGTAAACGTTGATGTAGCGTAAATACAAATAAATATATTATTGAATTACAGCATTACTGTTAATATGGATGCAATAATAAAAACTGGATTTGAGAAAGTCAATCACCAAATCACTTTTCAACCAAGCACGAGTCAAAGGGAAAAGCTTTAGTGGTGGCAAGTGTCAAAAAAGAATGGAAGAATTATGTGGAGTGGAAGAATTAAGAAAAACAAATTACCATAAATAATGCTAATGCATAAATTAGCACCCATGATATCATCATATTGGTTTGAACAATTAATTCTTTCCCTGTAAACTTTTGGACAGCGAATATATCTTAATGCATCTTCAGAAAAACTTGAACTTGAACATTAAACTTGATTTTTGGGTTAAAAGGAACTCTAAGTGAGTGTTATGAAACTAAAATTTACACTTAAAAGTGAACTTTTATTTATTATTTATTTCAAACTGACTTTAAAATCGGGCGCAAGAATAATGCATAGTTTAGGTTATGTTACTTATGCTTTTTTATGATATAAATCCACTTTTCTCTTTGTACTAGCTTTGTGCTTCGAAGTTGGAAACGAATAAGACTTAAATTGACAATTTTTTGTTGTATTTTTACAATATATAACACAGCATTTCTTAAATCCCATTTTCTTCAGTGACAGAAGGTGTAAATAAACAAAACGAATATGAAATATTACAATTGACAATATGAATTTATGAAATCTATAATCTATGAAATGTACAGTAAAAAATGCAAGATTTCTCCACTACTCGCGCACGATCGTTTCTCGTATCCCCTCCAAGTACTTGCACGTCGCCAATAGAAGCTACAAAGGAGCAGATCACTACAGTCTCATGTGGCGACAAAAGTCAAACTTAATTAAATTAAGAAATTCTGAAATAAACTGAAAAAGAAAACAACGCAAAAAATATCATGTGAAGTAGCTCCAAACTATAGAGATAGCAAACAAAATAGGGAAAAAATAAACAAGAGGTTAAGAAGAATCACGACTAGGAAATTCGAAGAGAAATTTGAACTAATGTTAACAACCATGATACAAAGGAAAGACCTTAGTATTGGAAAAGCAGAAAAAAATAGAAAACACTGCTTTGATGAGAACTGCAAAACAATCCTAGTTTGGCCTGTGATATCTCCAGACTTAAAATCCATTAAATAGGCACGGAATATGCTTTCCAGAGCTGTTTATGATTCAAGAAATCCTTCTAGAACCCATCATAAACTTGCAGTTGCCTTTAGAGAAGAATTAGAAAGTCTGCTAGAGCTCAAAGCTAGGCTGGCATCGATACCGGTGTTAGAAATACATGATATTCTTCTTCTTTCTTCTTGAATCTAGGCTTTAAAGCATGTTTCCTTTTTAATATTAGCGTCCTAAATGATTTAACTTGTCGCACCATCTTTTTCTTGGTTCTCCCATACTTCTTCGTTGTTATTTATGTCTTCTATATTGTATGCTTTTCTTATGTTTTCTCTTCTCTTCCCATCCAACAGACTTTTCTCTGATATTCATCGGGGTATTTTTAACGCTGTTGTTTCTAGTAGTTGTCTCGTTTTAGATGTGTTAGGTCTTATCTCCTCCTAGTACTAATTGGTGCTTTATAGATTCTAGTTTTTGTGTCTTATCTTAGGTGTTTGTTCTTCCAGATTGTATCATTAAGAGATATCGCCGCTTTACTTGCTTTTAAGCTTTGTTATCGTACTTCTTTTTCAATCTTTTGTTATATCTGTGTTATATCTTTTTATATGTTGTCATACATTTGTATATATCATTGATATTGTACATATTATATTGTATTTCTTGGCTGTTGTATTTAAGATGTGTGTTAATCTTTGGAGTCCGTCTTTTATCTTGGCAATTAATGCGGTGTCGTCTGCAAAACATAATACTTGGATTTTTTTGTTCCCCATTCCGTAGCCATGACCTTTACGTACTGCTTGTATTATTTCATCTCTTAATATATTAAATAGAAGTGGGATTAACAAGTCACCCTGTCTGACTCTGCTTTGTATTGGTATACATTGTGTGTTTTTCATTTATCTTTGCCTGTATTCCATTATGGAAGTAGATGTTTTCGATGGTTTATATAATATTGATTGGTATGTTGCTTTTATACAGTGGGTGTGAGACGTCTTCGACTTGGATGCGATCGAAAGCCTTTTTTCAGGTCTATAAAACATAGATATGCTGGTTTATTGTACTCGATGGACTTTTCTGTAATTTGTCTTAGTACAAATACGGCGTCTACGCAGGATTTTCTGGATCTAAATCCTTGTTGTTCATCTGATAAAATTGTTAGTGTATTGATTTTTTTGGTTAGGTCTTCTTTATCTCCTTCCTTAAACATTGGTATCATTATGCTGTTTCTTCATGCGTCTGGTATCGTGCAGTGCAATGTTAGCTTTTGTATAAGTTTTGTCATTTCCAGGGTTATACTTTCTCCTCCGTGTTTTAGAAGCTCGTTGGTTTTTCCATCTGGTCCTGGTGACTTTCTATTGTTAAGTAAATTTATTGCTATTTCTACATCCTAAAAACTGATTTCTATTTCTAGTCTTAATTAAGGTACGTTATTCTGTTGATTATTATTTTCCTTTGCCTTAAACAGTTTCGTCAGGTATCTTTCCCATTCATTTGCTGGTATGTTATTGTATTCCTTTAATTATGCCGTTTCTTTTTGTTGGTTTCTTATGAATCTCCAAATATTTGTTTTTGTCTAACGTAGAAGTCGCTTTTGATCCTTTCTGTAAACTGTTTTCAGTGTTCATTTTTTG